AGTCTTTATTCTTTATATGTAATTTAAAAGCAAGCTTTTCTTTGTAAAAACTTTAATTAAATTTTAATAAAGTTAAAAGCATGGCCTCACTATTAATATTTAAAAAAAAAACAATTGATTAACTTGTTTATTATAATAGAAATTAATAATTTTCTTTAATATCTATTATATTTATCTATTTCTATTTTTTTTAAAATTAAATCCTATCATTCTCTTTATTGTTGTTGTAATTTTTCAACTGTTCTATTTTCATTTAGATTTTTATTTTTTATTTCTTAAATTCTAGTATTGATATTTCTTCTATCATTTAGAGATCAATATCATTGATATTGGGAATTTCTTTACTAATTTTATTATAATACTCATTTGATAGTGTTTTTAATTTTTTATTGTGTTAAATATTCAGAGTAATTTTTTGTTGTTCATTTAGATTTTTACTATTTCTTATTTGTCTGAACCAAAGTCTATATGTTTCTAAAGTTAGTAGTTTGGTTTCATCATATATTCCATCTTTTATATAATTAAAATCATTTAATTCTGGTTGTTTATTTTCTAATTCTTTGACTCTGTCTTCTTTGATTTAATCAAGTTTTTTTTTATCTTCATCTATAAAATTAGATTTTATAATTTCTTTTTTCTATTTATCTTTCAATTATCTATATCTGTTTCTTCTTTGATTTGGTTTTAAAGTTTATTGTATTCAGAGATATAGTTTTTTAGATAATTCTATTGGTTTTTCCTTTCTAGTTGAAGTTCATCTTTTATTTTTTTTGTTAAATTTTAACTTTCAGTTATCTATTAATCCTAATGTTTCAGATCTTATAATTGTTTGATTAGTTTCTTTATTTATGTTTTCTTTGAGTTCTTTATAATGAATTATAATTCTTTCTTAATCAATTTGTATCTGTTGTAATTTATCTTTTTGAGGTCTTAATAGATCAGATTTATTGATTTCTTTATCCAAACTTCTATTTTTTTTAATTTTTCAAGATCAAATATGTTTTTAATTTTTTCTTTAAGTTTATTGAAACTATTATTATTTTATTGATATTGAAGAGATGCTATTCTAGCAAAAAAGTATTCTATTATTTCATTATTTTTAGTCTATCTGAATTGTTTAATAATTTTTTTCTTATAGTTGCAATCTTCAAATTTTTTGCTTGTTTTTGATTTATACTTAGCAAACATTTTTTGAATAAAATAGATATATAGTTTATTTATTTATATAACTTTTTAAATCATTAATACATGAATATTAAAAATATGTTTTGAATAGATAATAAATAAAATTAATATGATCAGTTTTTCCAATATCAAATTTTCAAGATCTGTATATAATTGATTGACAAATACTTTATTATATACAAATATATGTTCATAATATTTCAAATAATTAGTTAAAGAAATAAAATTATTGATAAAAGATTCATTTATCATATTTATAAAACTAAAAAGTTCTTTTTTATTATTGTCAATATAAGGATTGTTTGATTTAAGAAATTTTTCTTGTACATTTTTGTACAAATAAGAAGCAACAAGAAGATCTTAGGATCTATTATTTCTATATTTTTATGTAAAGCTATCTATTTATAAGAATTATCTTGGTCTTTTTATTTTATAAAAGGAACCTTTAGGTTTATATACAGAGATGTATAGTGTCTTTCTTTTTGCATTAAATTCATAAAGAAACAATCTATTATAATAACTTTTACACATTGTCATCTGTTTTAATATTTATTTATAATGTTCATTAACAAAATTCCATGTATATAATTGTGGCAATGTTGATTCAACTATTACTTGAACTTGATTTCTAAGTCTTGGATTTTTTGTTCTTGCACATGCTATAGCATTTATAAAGATTAATAAGAAAAAAAAATAAAATTTTATTTTTTAGAAAAATTTTCAAGTAAATTGTTTATTTATATATTTTTTAATTAAACATCTTTTTTTTTATTCTTTTCATCTTTGTTCACTTTTATCAATTAATTAAGTTTTTTTAGTTTGCAACATTCATCATCTATTCAAACATATTACTCATAGGATTATGTAAATTAAAATCAGGTTTCTAAGTTGTTTCAAATTTAGTATAAGATACAAATAATGGGACACTACAATTTTCAACATTACAATTAAAGGTTTTACCAAATAAAATAGCATTTCTATTATCTTTTTTTGTTTTAAATTTATAAAAATGATTAAAATAATTAATTAAAATTATGAGTGCATAGCTTCCTTGGTTAAAAGTTTTAGCTCTGGTTTTATTAAGCAGTAAACAAACTTTCATCTTTTTAAAGTTTAATCAGATTTCTATTATATGAGTTGAAATATGCAACCATAGCATGTAATTATTTCTTCTTATTTCAGAATAGGATTGATATATTTATGAAATTGAACATCATGTATATTACTTTTCAGAAATATATCTTCTATACCAGAATTCATTTGTTCTGCTATTGATTTATCACAAATTTCTATTATATAAAAAAATAATTTCAAAAAATCTAATAATACTAGTGTTATTCTAATATCTTCTAGAACTTGTAGCACAATAATAGTTTCATTTATATCTAATTGATGATATGAAGTCATTTTGAATTTTATTACAATATCATGTAATTTAAGATTTGTATGATTGAATTTTGAATTTTAAAATAGTCTAAGATATTAATATTTTTCTTTAATTAGTATAAAATGTAATACTCTATTATTAAGATTTGGGTCTTCATATATATCAACTATCACTTTTGGGTTTCTTTTACTGATACATAAATTAATTTTTTGATCCTTATTACAATATGCAATAATATATGCAAAGGCAGAAATATTTTTAGACAATTTATTTTGAAGATAAAAAGAAAAGAATTTAAAGTATTTATATATTTTTGGATATTTTTTATTAATTTATTTAATATAATAATAAACAATAAAATTAAAAAAATTTAATTTTCTTTATTACAAAAATCTTTAACTATTGTTAACATTATGTTAAAAGTTTTACTATCTATAAGAAGACTTTATGCTAATTATATATAACTATAACTAATATATACAGAGATTTCTGTATCTCCAGTACCAAAATTATACCTTTTTTCTAAAAGATAAATTGAATATTCATCATTAATTAATTTTTTTTATAATAAAACATAAAATTGGCATAATCTATAAATATCATGAACAAATAATTTTCTTTGTTAAAAAAAGCTGATTTATTATCTTTAATCTTATTTTTAAGGCAAACTTACATTTTACTAAGATCTAAATAAAGGATTATATTATCTTTGTGAAAGTGTATAAATTACAATTTATCTCTAATTCATTATTAACTATAATATTAACTTGTTGAATTGAATATTTTGAAAATCATTTTCTATTACTAAGTCATTTACTATGATGTTTAATTCTTTTTTTCTCAATAAATCAAGATCAAAATTTCTAAAATGTAGCTTCTAATTGTTATTATTGATATTAAAGAGTGATTGAAGTATTTCCTTCTTGTACAAGTATTTGAAAAGTTTAAGTTATATCTTTATAATAATATTTTAGATTTTAAAATATATTGAGATATTATATAGTTAGAAATTCATAAAAGGCTTATAATCTGTTTGAAAAAGTTTAAACACAAAGAATATTTTGTACAATGGACCCAAATCAGAATGTGTGATTATTTTTTGTAATAGAGCTAAAATTCATTTTGATAACATTCATTAAAGAAGGTTTTTTTACTTCACATATATATAATTTCTCTTCATTACCACATTATCCTACTTTACAAGGTGTTGAAAACTTTTTAACTGGTGTTTTTTTCTTCACAATTTTTTTTGTTTTTTTAACTATTTTTACTTTTAGCATTTTGTATTATTATAGCTACAAAAACTGCATTTTTTAGTTGAATTGATTGATGTTAGAAATTTATTTGTTGCTTTCTTTTTCGCAATAGATTTTTATGCAGTTTTTTTTATTTGTTGTATTTTTTTTTTGAACAGTTCATTTTACAATTTTTTTACTTTTACTTAATGGCACTTTGTCTAAATGAGTCAATAAAGAAAATTATATTATTAAATATTTCTCATGCAAGATACTTAAATGTAATAAGATATGTAAAATGAATTTAAAATTAATTTTAAAAAATTTAATGTGTAAGATAATTATCATGTAAATGATTATAATTAAAAGAAGAATATATAAGTAAGAAATTGCTATATCAAGTTTTAATCTGTTTATATTGTATCTTTTACAAAAATCTAAATCTTATGTTGCAATTTATTTTTATTTTTTAAAGAGATCCAAGATATTTATATATTTTTAAAAAAGCCTATCTATTCTTTAGATTCTTATAACTAGTTCTCCACAATTCTGCTATAGCTTTTAAAGTTTGAGCATCATTTTCATATTGTGGTTCTAATTTATGATAATGATCTTTTATGAATTGCTGATACTTAGACAGTTTTTTCACTTCTGTTTCTTCTTCATCTTTATTATTTTTCTTTTTTTTTATGTTTTTTTACTTTTTTATTATTTTTAGAGAATTTTATATCTGTAAATCTTTTGATGTTAGTCAAATTTGTTATTACATAATCAGAGTCATGATTTGATAATTTATCTATAAATTCTTTTTTATTTTTACTTTATATTAAATATAATTTAATTTTTGCAGTAGGAATTTTACCCATTTTAGTTTTAAAATAATATAAAGAGTTCATCTATTTATATGCTTTTATTATAAGTTTAAAAGTGAAAAAACTAAATATTGAGTTTAATGAAATTATCAAATTACTTATGATGAATGGAATAGGCCTTTCAGAAGCAATCAAAAGATTAAAAAATATAAGTGAAAAAATTTTTAAGGATTTTTATGATATTCCTGAAGAGAAAGATAGAGACATTAAAATACTTATTAAAGTAAACAACATCTTATTAACAAAATCATATTATTATAAAACACATTGGTTTTCAAAATTATTCAATAAAACATCTGATTAGATCAAGGATTTAGTACTAGATACTATTAATAAAATTATATCTGACTTATTAAAGTAAGTTATTCAAATTATAATAGTTAAAGATTATATATTTAAAACAATATTTAAAACAGTTTCTTTCAAAACTATATCAGGAATTGCAAGATTTATAGAATTTTTATTAACTTATTGTTCAATATAGCTTGTTAAAATATTTATTTATATTTTTATTTTTTTTATTTTTGTGATTCATTATTTAAATCATATATTTAAGATAGATATAGTTTGTTATATAATATAATTATTTTTATTAATAATTACAAATAATATAAATAAAAATAAAATTATTATTCAACAAATAAATATAGAATCAAATTGGTCAGAAAAATTTAAAAGTTTTGAATATGCTATAAACTGAATTAAGATTACAAATCTTGATAAACCAAAACTTAAATTAAATAAATACAGACTAGTAAAAATTGATTTCAAACTTGTTTTGAAAGTGAGAACATAAATATTAGAAATAATAATTTTGATCAATATCAAAAATTTTTATCTCTTACAAAACTATACATAATATTGTTATAAATATGAAAACACATATTATATTAAAACTCATAATAATAAAAATAATTATAAAGATTTATATATTTATTAGCTGATTTATTCCAAAATGAAGATGATTAATTACATCAATTGTAATAGTCTCAACAATCAAAAATGCAATCTATGAAAGACAACTCATCAAAAAAATATGAGATTGTTGGAGATTTCAATAATACAAGAATAATAAACAAAATTTTAAAAATTTTTATATAACTAAAAAAAAAACTTCAGAACAAGTAAAACAACAAGCTAAAGCTTTTAAATTAAAATATAACAAAATAGCAGAAAATTGAAATAGATATCTAATTAACTTTTAGTTATATTTAATTATTTTTACCAAGACTTGTCAATAAGTCAAAAAAAAAAATTTAATACACAAAACAATACTTATAGCTTTTCTTCCAAATATAAACTTATTAATTTTCTCAATAACACTATTATGTATGATATTGAAGCTCACTTTAATAACAAACATTTTATCTAGTCTAATAACACTAGCAGTAGTTGTATTGACTATATTTGGATTAACCAATTCAATATACAATTTCTTTTCTCTTACAGTCTTGATAACAGCCAAACCTCAACTTCTAGTGACCATCTAATTCTTACCTCTACATGAACACTCCTATATGCCTATAGCAAACCCTTATATAAATATACCAATATTAGTTACTACATCTTTAACTACAAGATTATATCTGCAAAAAACTGAGAATCCTTTGCAGATACCTTATTTCAACAACTCTTATTGCACAAAACTTCTATCAATAGTAAAACTAATAAAAGTATTGAAACAACTTGGCACAAAATTCAATACTTTATTATTTACTATGCTATTTACACTATCTCTAGTAAAGTCTCTCATAAATGTAGCTACAATAATCAATACTCATCTCATAGTACCATATTACATTTATCTCTTAAAAAACTTGATTACATTATTAAACTTGTTAAAAAACTCATCCAATATTCTGACATCTCTAACATTAATCAAAATATCTCCCAAATTAACAAACAGTCATAATGTGACCTTCAACTACTTAACTCCACCAACCCATCTTGTACTTAACTATGACTTTAGCATGCTTACTCTATCTGAAAACAACTTTTTTATGTTTGTTATCTTGAAAACTTCCTCCTACTTTAACAACAAATTAACAAAACTACTAACAAAAAATGTATTACTTTTACAACATATTCTATACAAGCTATTAATAGCATTCTTAACTGCTATCATCAACCTATTCATTCTCTAATATAAAATTGTCTAATAAGCTTATAACTAATTTACTACTTATTAAACAACATGTTCAATCACATTTTTATAACTGAACTGCATTTAGACCTATTAATAAAACTCTTTTTAATAATTTTTGACAACAACACTATCTCTCACTCCCTCATATTAACCCAACCTGGTACCAATCTCTAAACTCCCTTATTACAAATAAAAAACTCTCTCAAACTCTCTTTTAGCTTTCTAACAACAAAGTCTGTAGTCCTACAGACATTAGTTATAAAATGCTCAAACACATCAGCTCTAAATGTACTTCTGCTATTACTAGTCTTTTTAACTATTGCCTTCTTGAAAATAGAATTCCTAAGCAATGAAAACATAGCAGAATTTATCCTATTTCCAAATATAACTTCTTTGATAGTAATCTTAATCTTACTTAACCTATTAGTCTTGTTAAACATATTCACAAACTATATATCAAAATTTTTACAAATAGACTAAGCACTATATTTTTTTTTAATCCTATTCACTTACCTTTTAATTATATTGCACTCCCTAACAATAGCACTTCAATTTCTATTTACATTCTTAATAATCTTATTAAGATGCCACTTGTAATTATAAGAACATTTGGCTATTTTTATAAAATATAAGTAAAGCATATGACTCTGTTAGCTTTACTCTTTTTAAACATTTATTTTCTCATCTGGCACTTCCTTTATCTATTATTAATATCTTTTCTGACCTTTTAACTAATTATCATAACCAAGTTATTACTAATCTTAGTCTTACTCTCTTATACTCTGTTTACAATAGTATTAACCAAGATGAAATCATTATTCCTTTAGTATAATGCATATATTATGATCCATTTATCTTATATATACATGCACAAGTATCTGGTTATACTTTACAATCCTTTTAGGCTACCAATCTTAAACTCCAAACATTTAACTCATTACAAAAATAATGCTTTGTTTTGATATATATGGATGATACTCTTTGGGTTGCTTTATTACAAACTGAGCTTTCCAATATATTATTTATAGCTGAATTATTTTATGCTATAGCTAACATTTATGTTAACTCTACAAAATCTATTCTGGTTACCAATAACTCTTCATCTCACTACATTCTTATTCTCTATACTAATCATTTTTTTCCACTATATTCTTCTAAACAACTCTTTAAATTTTTAGGTTGCTAATTTAGCTTAGACAATAGGTAATTTAAATAAACAAATCTGCTTATTGCTGAATTCTCTTAATTCATTCAAATTGCTAAAACCAAATGTATTACTGACTTATATGCCTATTATATTATTAACATAGTTATTATTCCTATTCTTAAATATTATCTTCAAAACATTGTAGTTAGTCAGCCTACTTGCAATAAAATCTTTACTCAGCATATCAGGCTTGTTAAACTTAAAACTAAACTTTGCTATATAATATCCTCTAGTATCCTTTTATATTTCCAAATTTATAACATCAAACATATTTGAAACATCTAACTACAATACTATATTCCTAACTTTCTTAAACAGCTTAATAATCCTGACCTATTAGATACAAAACTCATATTTAAATTCAACAGTTACAAAATAACCTTTGGTTCTCTACCAATATCTTCTTACATTCCAATCCTATTATTGATGATCCCAGCTATCTAAGTACAAACTTTAAAATTATTCAGCTTATCAAGCATATTGGCTAGACATTTTTTACTAATCCAACTTATAATATTTTATTTACTCTAAATAACAGAGCAATCTCTCTTGAATCTTTTTTTTTCTCCTATCTCAAATATTCTATTTTTAAAAAAGAACTTAGATATCACAAATTACTTTTTCTTAACTAACTTACTACATATGATAATTCATACTTATTATACTGAAAATACATTTCTTCTAGATTAAATAAGCTTTTTAAAAGTGTTGTATCTCAATGGTTTACCACTCTTAAGAACATTACAACAAGCAATTTTCATCAACATACTCTATATAATCACTTTAATCTACCTCAAACAAATTATTTTTCTTATACTACTAGTCACTTTAGCTCTAATACCAAACCTTGACTACTTACTGTTCATAATGACCAAATAATTATTGGCAAGATCAGAAGGCATAATACCTCTACAGGTCTTATCCATATTACTCACTGGCACTGCTTATATCAGTTCTAGTTGTCAAACCTATATTTTACTACTACATTATGTTTCAGATGTTATTTTAATTCTAATACAAATTGGCAACAAATAAATCATTTTTATTTTTACAAACCTGGTTACAAAACTACTTTGTCATATTAGCACTAACAAAACTCTTAATCTATATGCCAATTTTCTTAATATTGCATACTCTGTAGCTATTCAACATCCTTTACATATTCCATCTTCTTCTTCATTAATAATCAACTCATAACAATTACTTTGCATTTTTCAGTCTAACCAATTTACTAATAGCTTACAGTCTATTGCTAATTTCAATTATAACCTAATTACTATTTCATTTTATACTGATGGTTCTGTTATCAAGCTTGGTACCTCTCAATGCTCTATAGGCATAAGTTGGATTCAAGTTAATAATTCTGCAACTATTTACTCCTTTCAGGCACAAGTTAAACTCTGGTCATGCTCTTTTAAAGCTAAAATTCTTGTTATTCTCTTAGTAATTATAACTGCTTCTAGAAACTGCTCTGTTCATATCTTTACAGACTTTCAATTTGTCATCTCCAAATATCATAATATTTGTTTATTAGCATCCAAACTCTCTCATACTCATACTTCATACTTCTCTATTTGGCAAACTTTTATCAACTTCATTAACTCATATAATATTCAGCTTACTTTTCATAAAGTTATTGCATATCAAGATAACCTATTTAATAATCTTGCTGATAACCAACTTGCTTGTAGTTACCAAATACTACTCTTTTTAACATTCTTAACTAATAACCCTTATAATCCTGTCTATACTCCATTTATTAACCAATTTTCTATTGAGATTGTCATTCAATACTCTATTTATATTATCTATCAAACTCATATAATATTATTTTGGACATTCTAATATCATTTTCAACAATGTTTACTATTGTCTCTAACATTAACTGAAAGCTATTTGGCTTTATATCAATAATAATTAAAAGATTTCTAACTTTGTCCATAGTTTTCATTTTTTTATTCTAAAAACCTTCTGTATTAAAATTCTTTTGAATGAACTATCTGTTTCTCACACTCTTCACAAATGTAGCTTGTCTTATTCTTCTTTCTATTACCAATGCAATCAAACTAGCTCTTCATTATACTAGACTTTTTGTTCTTCTA